ATATTTGCGTTTATACTTTTGTGTTTCCAATACATCATTTTAGTACAACTTCGCTACGTACAGATTTGTTTAGTATGTGGAAATAGCTGGAAATATAATGGTTCTTGGGCTTAATATTCGGGGTTTGGGAAAATGTGGTGGAGAATGTGGGCATTGTTGGCTTTTCAGCTGCGAGATTGTTGGGGAATTATCATGGACTAGAAGCTGGGGGAGAGGAGTACAATGTGGAGAATTGATGGATTTGCACGACTTCCTCGCTAATCTTTAACTTTCTGGGTGGGGGGAGAGAATCTTGTACGACGGGGCTGGGAAAGACGTCACTTGAGATGGATGGAAAGATATATTGATATAGTTTGCGAGATGCGGGATGTGAGAATCAGGCTAGAGAAGAGGGAGAGGGAGAGGGAGAGGGAGAGGGAGAGGGAGTTGGAGATGGGAAAAGTGGAGGGGTGTAACGATACTGTACTAAAGGCAGCGGCTGCCTAAGGTTCGTCGGTTGGTAGTTATGGGTTAAGGCTTTATCACTGGTATTCACTTGGAAGTGAAGTCGTTACTAGATCAAGTAGAATGTAGGTAAACTAATTGATAACTAAGTTGAGCACGAAGCTCCTAAACTATGAAACTACTCTGACTATATAATGAACGATAAAGGGAGCCCCTAGGAGCCCTCAAAGCTCCTAGGGCTCCTTATCACGTGATTTCCGATGGTGCGTGCGCATACGATCTTCAGGCGACCAAGATCACATACTAATTCGATGAAATCTGATCGTGTTTGCACAAGGCCTAAGCTCTCCTAATTAAGCAGTTTGCTACCATCGTAACACCATCAATCCTAATGGTGAATCGTGACAAGGGGATTGAGATAAAGGAGTGAGAATAGGGTATAATAAGTTTTTTGTTGTTGTAAGGGAGCGTGGAAAGGGGAGTGGGGAGAGAGATGAGAGAGGTAAGAGAAGATATATTATAATTGATTAGTGTTACGCCGGGTAACAAGAAGACGCTCACGTGTTACCAATATCATGTGACTGACTCAGTGAGAATCAGCAAGCTCAGTACTGAGCCATACTGATCCTACTGATCAGCTAGAACACGAAGGTCTATATAATCAAGATGGATTTCCTGTTACGTGACGGTTGTTATCCCACTAGTGGCTCACGTGCACTAGCCCTGTATATAAAGACCTTCTTACTTAGAATCTTCTTAGTTCTTTAGTTTTAGATTCTAAGTGATTGAATTGACTCCGTTTACGACTTTTCCGTCACATTTCCTTTGTATAGAGCTTCGTGCTCAAGATCAATCATTTAGTATACTCTACTATTAGTTACGAATTGCATATCATTATTGTCATTACTTAAGTCCCTGCTTGACGCCTAGTTATAAACCACCTCGAGAGCCTGGAGCACTTCCACGTGATCTAGACGGCAAACCTCGTAACAATTAGGTATTGAAAATTGAGTAATTGAAGAATAATAATTAATTGATATTTTATTTCTTGATGAGTTTCAAATATCAATATATTTTTTTCATAGATTGATGATAAATATTTAAAATATAGCTATAGGGATATATAATTATAACAAGATAATTATAAGAACATTATTTATACTTATAACTAATATTTAAAAATTGAATCATTTTCTATTCAAACTTTATAAATGCTCGAAGTTGATATTTTGAAGTTTGTATACGAGTAGCTTTGTAAAGTTACCGAGGGTTTGGTTCACCTGTTCTGATGGGTTCGGTTTGTGGGGATCATTATATGGAACAGAGTACAGAGTACACTTGTTGTAGTGATATTATATAAAATAATTTTAGCAATTGGAAGGGATATATATATATAACTTACAGCTAAAACCATGGAATGAATAATAGTATTACAATTCATCGCAATTGTATTCTCAATATTATTAAGATATAGGACTTATATAAGCTGTTCCCCATTGAGTGTTTCGCGACTTCATACATAGTACTACGTACATATATTTCATACTCCATCCCGGTCCTCAGATAAGATTGTGAATGAAGTGATAAGTTAGGTTGAACGAGCTGAGATCTAATAGTAGGTAAGTAATAATATAATATGAGATTTATTTAGTATGTATGTATTGATATAACTAGCTGACTTTACTTCAATGACGACAATGATTTCAAGGATGGACATCACATCCTGTCTATGGGGCTAGTAGTAGTAGTATCATTTATTGATTGATATGATGGATGGTCTGCGCCTCGGTGAACTAGTTATATCACATTTTGTGAGATGACGAGATAGGTGAACATGGAGTATATGGATGATATGACATGATAGATTATTTTCCCATGCGAATAGTCTGCCCCCACGGCAGTGGCCCTCGGAGAGCCAGCGGAGCGTCATTTATCTTATTTTATTTTGGTTGTGTTATGTTATGGATTTATTATAATTGTTGTATCGTGAGGGATATTGGGGGAAACGCCCTTTACTAGCTGCGCTTGGCCATGGGGTCCTTTACTATTCTCAAAATACACACCGAAGGAATCGTACGTTTAAAAAAACCAACATTGCATTATCAATTCTACAGGCAGACATATACAAAAATAAAAGTAAAAATGATGTAATCAATTGAGTTGTAGTGTGGTGGTGTGGTAGTAGATAGATACATGTCCGGACTTATTTACAACGGCGGACTCGATGAAGGAGGCGCAGACTAATATGATATGACAGGAGAAAAGATGCAAAAATGGCTTATTGCAGCCAATCGTATGGTGTTCCTTAAAAACAATAGCTCGTATTCATGTTGAGCCGCTTTTTAGTGATAGAGGAAGGGTAAGGGTAGGGTGGTGTGCACGCGACGATGGAAGGATTCCCCGCTAGGAATCCACGTTTTGGGCTTGAGGGGTAGGACAGATATTCGAGGGATTGAATTGAGGGACTTATGGTACGGGATGGATGGAATTGTTCGGGGCTGAAAACGAGAAAGCGGTACAGTACATAGTCCTCTAGACGAGTAAGGGGATCGATTCGTCTTACTGAAGTTTGAATGGTCAATGGTAACATACAACCAAAAGTTAATGGCGCAAATCAAATCGAATCAGATCAAATCAGATCACATCAATTCAAATCATATCACAAAGATTGGAAGACAAGAATAGACTTGAAACCCCTTACTGCCACCTCACTTCTCCCTTCCCTTGATCAAAACACGAAGAAACGGCGTCGCAGGCAAGAAATAAATGTGTTTAGGTAGTTTTTTTTACCGACAAACTGTCAAATTCATTTCTGGGTGCTGACTGTGTGGAAACAACTGGGCGGGTAGGGCTGGCTGGCTATGTTTCCACCACACGCAACACCCAGCACCAAAATGGGAATATGATCGAAAACGAACAGAACTCCGCTATGTAATTCTTCACCTGTGGGTCGCTCTACTTTATTAGACTCATAATGATGATGTCTTTTCTTCAACACACTCATTGGGATCCCATATATTGAGGCACAGCAATTCTTCAATTCATGTAAGCTGACTCCCCACTCTAATGACTACATACAACAGTATAAGGTTAGTTAGTCTATGACATATCTTCATCCATCACAAAACGGTTAAACGGCTTGAACGCTTGCCATGATAGGTATCGATGTCCTTCGGTGTCTGGTTTTGTTCACAATGGATCCTACGCGGTACAACTCGTATATCGCTCAATATCCTCAAGTGTGTACGTACTAGGGAGGGAGGGAGGGAGGGAGGGAGGGAGGGAGGGAGATGCGAGGTAGTAGGTACGGGAGTACATGAATGAAAATGTGCCGTGATTGATGTGCAGCAGCGGCGTTCAATCACCCCGACTTACCACAATGGCACAATGGCAAAAGACGCCAAAACTTCTAAAGTGGTGACAATGAGGTTCATCACATCGTTAGCTGCATCTTGCACAAGCCACTTGGTTCGACTCCTCAATTCTGTTGATTTCCTTTCCGAGATATGAGGGTGTGTTACCATCGCAAATAACTGGTGGCTTTTTCATCCATTGTTTTCTATGTGGGAAAAAAAGAGGGGGAAATAGAAGAAAAGACGGAGAAAAACGGATTTAGTATTTCGTAATGATCCTCATATACATCTCGTCAATATGATTATGGCACATACAAGAAAGAGTAATGGCAGAATCAAGGGCTGACTTTTCTTACTCATTGCTTATCCTTCATCAACCAATTCCGCTATCTCAAATAATCAGATATCACGTCGTCTTACTGATTTTATCCTTACAGCCACGGCTGATTTCATCAATCTTTCATCATCCATTTCAAAAAATGGCCCCCATACCTCAACCAAACTAATTGATATCTAGAAATAGTTTCTTGGTATAGGGTCATAAATGGAATCAAACGTTTAACATCAATTTTTATCTCACACATTTTCATTGGTCAATTTAAGAGTACTTCTTCAAAGTCGACGCAGCCTGATGAATGCTTGTCGTTCTATCCACTTTCATTTGTTCGTCATGTACGCCCCGGAAAACTGGTGTTCGGCCCAGACGAGACATGGGGACCTGGTGGCTGGAATCATATCCCAATTTCACATTCCTTTCAGCTTGACGTTACTCAGCCTGGAAACCCCTGATATACTCACGAAGTCGTTTCTTTAACGTTGCTTACACTCTCTTCTTAAATATTGGCTCATTCCATGAATACTATTGTACTCTCTTTGTTTCAATACTTACTTTCTAAAACTCTGCACTATATTTTGTTCTCTTCGATATATCTCGAAGTTAGCGTTATCACATTGAACATCTCAGTCAATCAAAAAGATCCCTGCTGCATAAGTTATATCGTTTCTCCGCTTTTCAGATCCTGTATTACATCCGTTCAATCCTTCACTTAGGGTTTCTAGTGCGACACATTGGTGTACCGACACTGGTGAGGACTCCATCATGGCGACATCTGAACCCTTGTATTCGCCAAACATGACGAATGGTGAACATCGGCTCAATGGGTTCCACTTCAATGAGAATTTGAATGGCCATAAATCAAACGGTATCAACGGTAATGACTTAAGGAACGGTCAAGCTGAGAGTTGTAACGGGGATAGTGGATTAGGTGAATCATTTGATAATCTTAAAAATATCAATGGTCGAGAACAGCCGAGTGAGGATAGTTCATCAGATGAGGAGCATCGACACATGAATAAATCACATCGAATCGAGTCATTTGGTGCTCATACTACAGCATCGGGTCAAAGAGGGCAACATGCTAAGATTCGAACATATACGGATGATATCAACAGCAGAGACTTTCCTCGAATATCAAAACCGGTAGAAGTTTTGAGGAATGTCTATGATACTGTAGTAATTGGATCTGGTTATGGTGGATCAGTTGCTGCTAGTCGTATGGCAAGAGCTGGACAATCCGTTTGTCTTTTGGAGAGAGGGAAAGAAAAGTGGCCAGGAGAATATCCTACTGGCATGGTACATGCAATGGAGGAGCTTCACGTGTCGGGCAATTTTGCTCCTGGGTTTTTACCGGGAGCAATGGTTGAAGAAGGAGATCCTACGGGCCTTTATCATCTCATATTTGGAAAAGGTCAAAATGCTTTTGTAGCCAATGGTTTAGGTGGAACAAGTCTTTTAAACGCCAATATATTTCTTGAAGCCGATAAAGACACCCTAGCAATGGATTGTTGGCCGAAGGAACTACAAGAAGGAGAGGCCCTCAAAGAATACTACGAAAGAGCAGCATTTGTTTTACAACCTCAAAGTTATCCAGAAGATTGGCCTAAACTTCCCAAGTTAACGTTGCTGGAGAAGCAGGCTAGAATACTCGGCATGCATGAGAAATTTTATCGGCCACCACAAACTACTCGATTTCTCGGCGGACCAAACAGCACTGGAGTTGAAATGTATCCGTCTGCTTTGACGGGTATGGACTGTACGGGTGTGAATGATGGAAGCAAAAGCAGTACCCTGGTCAACTATCTCTCAGATGCATGGAATTGGGGAGCAGAAATGTTCTGTGAATGTGAAGTGAGATATATCAAAAAGCATCCAGATCCTGAGGAAGAAGGTTATCTCGTATTTTTCGCATGGCATGGAAGTAATCGCGGAGCTTTCAAAACCAACATCTACGAAGATCTCATGTGGGTACATGCAAAGAAATGCGTTTTCCTCGGTGCAGGTGCAATTGGAACAACAGAAATTCTTCTTCGGAGTAGGAGTTTAGGAATGAATATGAGTGATAGAGTTGGCAAAGGCATGAGTGGAAATGGTGATATGTTAGCTTTCGGCTATAACACCAATGAGGAAGTTAATGGAATTGGTCGTGTATCTCCGACAAACGACAATCCTATTGGACCTACCATCGCAGGTATCATTGATAACCGAGCTGGTCATGCAAATGTCTTAGATGGATATGTTATTGAAGAAGGAGCAATACCGAAAGCACTTGCTCCATTATTTCAATTCATGCTTGAGAAGCTTCCAGGTTCTAAAGCACCATCGGATTTGTCGACTCTAGAAAAACTAAGGCATACACTTTCAGCTACTGGGAGTCGTTTCCTAGGTCCATACTACAAAAAGGGTAGTATCGAGAGAACACAAACATATCTTGTCATGAGTCATGATTCTAATCAAGCCATTCTCACTCTCAAGGATGATAAACCTCTCCTTGAGTTCCTTGGTGTTGGTCGAAGCGATCATGTTAGAAAGATAAATAACATTCTCAAAGAAGCAACAGAAGCAGTTGGTGGAACTTTTGTCAATAATCCATTCTATTCAGCACTCGGACAACAAGAAATTACTGTTCATCCTATTGGTGGTGCTTGTATGAGTTCAGACAACACCGCTCAATATGGAGCGACAAATCATTTCGGAGAACTTCTCACTGGTCGTGGTAGTGAGACATATCCGGGTCTTATAATTTCTGATGCTGCTGTTATTCCTTGCGCTCTTGGTGTTAATCCATTTGCAACAATTACCGCTCTTGCTGAGCGCTCAGTTGCTCATGCTGCGAAAAGTTTCAATCTCGATATCGATTACGACACTAGCAATGGTTTATTGGATTTATTCGGTAAACCAAAACATGCTCCTATGCAATTGCAAACTTACAGTACACAAAATTTTGAAGTTGAGATGGCGACTAAAATGATTGATGAAACTGAAGATTCCAAAACAAGTGGATTTGGTTTTACTGAAGTAATGCAAGGATTTATTCATATTGGGAAGAATCTTAAGGGCGATCATAGAGAGGATTATGAAATTGCTGCCAAGACTGCTAGAGGACTTTGTGAGGCATCAAGATTTTTCTTGAGTGTTAAAGCTTATGATACACATAGGAGTAAGTCATTCGAAGTATCTTGAATCTACATCCTTACTAACATTATCATAGTTGTTCATCGACAGGATCATTCAGCTATGTTAACTGGTACATTCGTTTGTGCTTCATTACAAGGTAGTCCTTTTATGGTTCAACGTGGAGATTTTCAACTATTCAATGTTGATCATCAAGCTCCTGGTACTCGAAATTTAACATATGATTTCGACATGACATCAACTGATGGAAAACAATTACATTTTCACGGATATAAAATTGTTGATTCCTCAGTTGCTCTTGGTCCATTTAAATTTTGGACTGCCGCATCAACATTATACGTCACCATTACAGAGAAAGATGCAAATAAAACTGTACTTGGAAGAGGAATGATGCATATTCAACCCAAAGATTTCCTATCCCAGATTTTCACCCTCAAAGCTGTTGGTCGTAATTTTTGGTCTAGACTTCAATCTACCACAAGTTTTATGACTTTCTTCGCTAGACAATCAGCTAATCTCTTCTTCGCTCCATTCACCTATCTTCAATACCCATCCGTAACATACACAGGATACATAAACGATACACCACCCGATCAAACAATTCAAATCGTCGCTTCAGATAACGTTCAAACACTTCTTCACGTCTGGGAACCTCAAAACACAAACATCGAAACCAAGAACCTTTTTTTCATCCCAGGTGCCTCAGTTGATCATCAAATCTTCGCACTCCCCACCATAGAAGTAAATGCTATCAATTATTTCACTCGAGCCGGTTATCGCTGTTTCGTCGTCGTCCATCGTATCTGTCAATTAAGGGTCGCAGAAGCTAACTGGACTACCTTCGACGCTCGTCTCGATATCAAAGCTTCTCTCCAATGGATCCGTAAAGAACACGGTCATAAACCTATCTATACCATTGCTCACTGTATGGGATCCGTAGCTTTCGCATCGGGTCTTTTAGATGGTACAATTCCCGCACATTGGATTTTGGGTGTTACCTGTTCGCAGGTTTTCATGAATCCTATCTGGGCTACGTTGAATCTGGCAAAGGCAATGGCGGGTCCAATTCCCTTTGATAAATTGTATAAATTTTTCGGAGGGAATTGGTTTAGTTGCTCGAGTACGAGGGAGGATACTTGGTTTCAACAGGGGATTAATCAATTGTTGAGATTTTATCCGGATCGGAGAAGTGAGATTTGTAATAATGTTTCTTGTCATCGTTGTTCGTTGATTTTCGGTCGGTATGTATTTCTTCTTTTCCTTTCCTTTCCTTTTCCCCTTTCCCTCCCTCTATCATCAAAATTCAAAACCCAGACCCCAAAACCAAACTCACAAACCCCCAAAAACTAACACAAACAAACCAAAGTCTCTGGAATCACACAAACCTAAACGAAGCAACCCACCGCCAAATCAACCGCTTCTTCTACGGAGTAAACATGACCTGTCTCCATCTCCTCATGCACATGGGAACAATTGGTCAAGTAACAGGAAATGCACCTCTATTCCACCCCCTTACTTCCTCCAAAAATATTAGAAGATTAAAGGGGATACCGTTTTTTTTGTTTTCAGGTAGTGATAATAAAGTACTAAATCCGGAGAGTACGACGAGGTCGGTCGAGGTGCTGAGGGATGAGATGGGGGATACCTGTGGAGGGTGTGGGAGGGAGAGTTGTGGGGGGAGGGAGGATTGTGGAGAGAGGGAAGGTGGTGGGGAGAGGGAAGGTGGTGAGAGGGAAGGGGATGGGGATGCGGAAAATTTTGGTATGTTTGATATGTATGAGAGGATGGAGATTAGAGGGTATGGACATTTGGATTGTTGGATGGGAAGGGAGGCGTACAGGGATGTGTTTCCGGAGGTGAGGGAGAGGGGTGGATAGGGTTACGAGGGGGAGGGGGTATAGGTTTGACGGGGAGATACTGGGGGAGGGGAAGAAGAGTGTGTGAGGGTGGGTGTAGGTGTACTTGGTTGGGAATGGAGAATGGGGAATGCGGAAATGGGGAATGAGGGAATGGTGTTAAGGATTTACTTATTATATGGATATTTCTTTTTGTTTTTTTTTTGGTTATGATTATTATGATTATGGTGGTGGTGAAAGAGTGAAAGATATAGGAAGAGATAAGAAGACGGAGAGCGATAAGAATGTATTTGTAATGATATGATACATGATATACGGAGTAATAGATAAAGAGGATGATATAATAGATGAAGAGAAATGATAGAATAAAAATAAAAACAAAAAGTTTAGAAGTATTTATTTATTTATTTAGATAAATAATTATATTTGAGTTGTGTTTATGTGTTTATATACTTGATGTATTGATATAATATACTTGATTTATGGGAAAGGAAGAAGATAGAAAGGAGGGAAGGAAGGGAGAAGAAGAAAGAAGGAAGAAGGAAGTATACTTTCCTTTTCTACTTCTATTGCTATTCCCCTGTTAAGATATCTTAAATTTCTGCTAGACTATCTAGAAATTTTACACATGATTACTTAAATATGAAGATTCACTTATAAAAAGGTATATACTTTCACTCACATACACTCAAAGACACAAATATAGAATATTGCTACTTCCTGCATATCACAATACAATACGATAAAATGGTATAATTATCACTACATTCCCTCCTCCCCCCCTCCTCCCCTCCTCTCCTCCCATCCATCCATCCATCCATCCATCCATCCATCCACCCACCCATCCAAAACCCATCTCATCTCCCACTACACCAAAAACCCAAACAAAAGCCCCGTCCTCTTCCAATACTCCCTCGCACCATTCCCCACCCTCTTCCTCTCCTGCATCTCAAGCTTCAATTCCAATTCAATCTCATCACTCAAATTCTTGATTTTCATCCCCATAATCCCTTTTTCCTTTTCCTTTTCCTTATCCCCAAATTGTATAGATTGTAGCGCTAAAGCTTGTTGTAAGACGAAGATATCGAATAAATATTGTTTTAGTAGATTTTTTTCTTTTTCTTCTTCTACTTCTTTATCCAACGGGGATTGAACTTCATTTTTTGGTTCTTCTGTTTCCGCGGATTTTTCAGTATCGGGTGGATTGCTGGAAGAAGTAGTTGTTTTATTACTAGCCATCTTCTCTGACAAGGCTATGCTCCATTTCTCATTAATTTGGGAATCGAGATGTACTTTCAAAGTCTTAATAGCAATAGGACTCCAAAGATCTGCTCCAGCATCAGCCATAGCATTTGATAAAGCACGAAGAAATTTAAATGTAGCAGGTGAAGGTTGAATTGGAAGTTCCGGTGTTCCTTCCCATAATGCTCTTCCTGCAACTTTTTTTTTCTTGAGCGATTTTGCTAGAGAAGAGATAGGGTTTTCAGAAACTGTGCTGGCAAGGCTCTCGTGTAGTAATGGGATCAGTGAAAGACCGAATTGTTGTAGTGATGGATTTGTCGGTAGCTCTGCTCGGATATCTCGTAAAATTCGTAAAATATACATTGATATCTTTCCGATATGCTCGCTATCTTTGTATTGCTCCACAAGTGTCGTGATTTTCGTATGTAACTCCTGAAAAGCTTTTTCTAAGCTTGAATCAAGATGATCTTGCAACATTTGTGGATCTTTCTTACTAAGAAGATTTTGTCGCGACTCAAGACTTTCTTCATCTTCGATATCTTCTAAATCATCATCCCATCTTTGTTTCTTCAATTCATCAATAACAGTACCTATTTCCTTGATGAGATGTCTCCAAGTCTGAAAACTGTTGACTACTCTTGAAACAGCATCATTACGTCCAAAGGTACGAGCAAGAATGTCTTGTTTGAACATATTACCTCCATTGCTGAGTTCCGTTGCCATCATATCTTCATCCCATAGACTAGCATGATGATCAGTAATCCATTTCTCCCATGTAGCCAATGTGGATTCTATTTCTGTTCCCACTAGATGAAGTTTGCCAACTCGAGTTTCCAATAACTCTACAAGTCGTTCGTTAACAACACCTCGCAGTCCATCTCGAAGTATAGACGGATCAAACCCTCTTGCCTTTCCTCCATCCCGTATCCATACCTCCAATATCTTTGTCCGTAATTCGACTACTACCTTGAAGTCCAAGCCACCTTGAAGAGTCTTTGTGAATCCTTCCAGTAGTACCTCTGATGCTTTCTTCGCCCAACCTCTTAATGTCTCAACGGCTAATGATCCTTCCAAATCATCGTGTCGAACATAAGGTGTAAAGTAAAGAATTTCATCACCAAACCACCGCTCACATACATCTAATCTCAATCCCTCCAAATCTCGAATACTTTCATCTTTCAATAAAGGTTTCGTCTTCAGCGCAGCCAATGCTTGGCTAAGTCTACTCGGTACCAATGCTTGTACATCAAGTAAAGTCCTCGTATATATTTCCAATGCCCGCAAAACACCTGATGTCTCCTGGTTCGATTCCTCTTCGTCTTCGAATGCTAATGCCATTGCTTCCCCTCGGACATTTAGAAAATGTCGTAAAACGTCTTTCGCACCAGAGCTAGTAGCAAGACTATACGCGCAAAGAGCCTGTACCAGGTCTTCTCTATCTTCACCATCCTTGGTCGAGACTAATGTCTTCTCAACCGCCCGTAACAATCGTTTCGTCAAAACCACCCTCTTCTTCTTTGCCTCCTCAACAAATTCTCTATCCGCACTATTCACACAACCCTCCAAACTCTTCGCCAACAACCGACTCAAAACCAAAACTTTCGCAGCAATCACTAAACTTTTCCCTCTCCCCTCCCCATCCACTCTTCCCTGCCTCCTCAAAAGTTTCCCAACCACAATCCCACACATACCCAAACCCTTCATTCTAGCCAATCCCCTTATTTCCTCCCCTTTCTTCCCATTCTTCATTTCTCCCTGTAATTTACCTAATCCAGAAGCCATCCCAACTAATACATTTCTTCCACATCCTTCCCCTACTTCCCCCAACTTTTCCTCCACTTCACGGATATCCTTGCGCATTTGTAGGATTTGTTCAGCGGTTCCCAGTAATTGTCTATAACTACCTCCGACAAGTGTACGTAGACGTGCGTTTTTCTCATCAAGTTCGGTGGTGAGATCGCGGTGGAATTGCCGGATTTGAGGGAGAGGATGTTTAAATGCTTCCGAGGAAGTGAAGCATGTTGTTGTGGAGAGGGTTGTAGATGCCATTTTGGCGGGAGAGTTTTAGGGTTGTTAGAGCTTGTGGATATTCATGTATTGCGAATTGGTGTATTTTAGGAAGTCATAGAATTGGATACCATCTTCATATCATTATTCGAAGTTCTAGACTTTGTTTGTTGTTGTATTTCAAGGCTGTGAATGAAGCACACTTGTTATCGCAGCGGCAGTCCGTGCATCAGCCTTCCTGCAAGGCTGACAGATAAAGCCTTGCCCCGAATTTCATTTTCCTCCTTCATCATCATCAATTCCTGACTTGAATCATGCAACAAAATGATATTTCCACATAACTCCCATTCGTCCTAACATAAAAGACTTCCTCAAGTCTCTAAGAAAAAATCTTGAACCGTCAAATCTCTCCAACCCCCGCTCTCAAAAAATGAACACACCCACCCCCAATCCCCACCACACAACCCTCCTCACCATCCACCAAATCCTCCACCTAACCCACCACCGCAACAAAAACCAACATCGCCTCTCAAAATGGTACAAATCATTCAATATCCTCCGTCGACAAATTACCCGTTTGCTCACTCTCGTTCCCGAATATGTGATTGAATCATCACGTGGAAAGTCAAAAGTGAAAGGGAAAGCGAAGGAGAAGAAGGAGAGGGAAGAGAGGGAGTTGCAGAATTTGGTTGGGTATATGCGGAAGGAGGTGGTAGGGGAATGTTATTTGTGAGTTTCTTGGTTTTGGTTTTGTTGTTTCCGGGGATGATTGTATGGGACAGAAAGAGGAGAGACGGAGGAAAAGAACGGAAAGGGTTGGCGAAGGAGGATTGCTAATAAATATGAAAAAATAGGGCATTTAGCCAACTAGTAGCTGATAACCAATATGCTACATTAGGATTAATGTTAATGGGATGTCTTGCACGTTTATACAAGATACTCGAATCTTTACGAGTCCTAACAGCAGAAGAAATTGCCGAGAAAACCGGAACACTAAAAGAGGAGGTAAAAGTTAATGAGCCAGAAATAGGAGAGGATTTAGGCGAGAAGATCGTGAGGGATGCTCCAGCTTCAGAAGTGATTGAAGATACTCAGAAGGAGGAAAAGAAAGAGGAAGAGGATAGTGAAGTTAAGAAGTCGAAAGTAAAGAAGAGGAAACAGGAGGGTGAAGTATTGGAACGAAAATCTTCCAAGTTATCTTCATTAGATTCGACGCCGGCGAAACCGCCAAAGAAGAAGAGGAAAAAGAAGGGTGGAGATGCTTTTGATGATTTGTTTGATAGTTTGATGTAAATTAAGAATTAATAGTTAATTTGACGCTCCCCTAAGCAAGCGATCATGCAAGCGAGTTATTT